GTATTACTCAGTCAACATTTTTATAATTGCTTAGATGTTTAAAAAAAAGTGTAAATGCTGATCGATTGTAATTTTTAGAACTCTTCTTGTACAGTAAGTTTAATCAAGTCTGGCACTGTGTCTATATTTTTGGTTTTTAAGAAAATTGCAAATTATGCTGTTATTTTTAACATACTTCCAATGTTCATGGATTTTCAATTTTTTTTTTTTTTTTTTTTCCTTTTAAGGGTGTATGTTTGCTCTTACTAGTAATACTGATTTCTAACTTTAAACATGTTGCTGACATTACAAATCCCCCCTCCAATGGCAAAAGAAATATTCTCTCACACCTTTCATTTTTCCTACTTAATTATCTAATCGGAATACTAATCTTACGGTATTTCCATATAGTTTTGTAGTAAGTACAACATTAAAATTGGAGCTTTACTTTTCAGATTTATCAGTTTATTTACTTCTGAATGTATATTTCTGGGGGAAAATGCATTATCTTAAATAATTTGTTTAGGTATTAACTGAACTGAATGTGATTCTTACACTGCTGGCATTAGAAAATGAAATAATATCCAGATTCATGCACAGTTTAAACCTAAAAAGTTTTATGAAATGGAAATTAAGAAACTTAGTGTCTAAATCTTTGTGTTTATTAGATTACAAAGTATTGTGCTCATTTTTGACATTTGTGGGATTCTTGCAGTCCATTTGTTAGTGTTGTGCAATGATAGTGATAACATGCTGCATTTCAGATCTTTTTTTTTTTTTTTTTTTTTTTTCCCCATCTCTAGATATTAGATTTTCTAGATAGTATAATATGGTAATAAGGATAAGAATTCAGTGCTATGGTGTTCAGACTTCTTTCAGTGGACCATAGAATTGAACTTTTTTGTGAGACTTCTACCATACTTTTAAAAAAGTTCTGAATGTATACTAATATAGAATAAATTTAAGTGTTTAAAAAAGTTCCTTTTTTTGGGGGGGTGTCCCCCTTGACAAAGTGCTGACAGAGAGGAAGCAAAATGACTCACATACTGAAAAATTGATGGAAGGTTAGTGCAATCATTGACCTGCACTAATGCAAGCACATTGTGCATTCTGTATATTCACAGCAATCACAGTTCATCCAGAGTTGAAGAGAAATGGAGGCAATAAAGTGGCTTGGTTGCAGCTGCTTGTGGTATCACTTTAAGATGCGTCTGTCCACACAACTACATCAAGTTGTAAAATATGTCAGGCATTTGGGGAGGATGCAAATGAAAAGCACACCACCAGACACTGCATCCATATGCTCAGATTTTGAGATTTAAGCATTTGTGTTGAACCCCGCCATAGGGAACAATACCTGTTGGGTGACGAGGCCTAGAAGATAGCCACAGAGCAGGACAGTAGTCAGAGTAAGTGGGTATCCCCACACTTTGGTGTGCCAACAAGGAACAATGAGTGACAGCCTATTTGTCATTGCTGTCTTGGCACCACAATGCACCTATATTTGGTTGAATGCTCACAAGTGACAAAAAGGGGATCCACTTAGACACTCACAATCTGGTAGACTAGTTGCCAAATGGTGCATTACAAGATACTGCCGCCAGGTCACATTATCATTGAGACCTGTACTCACAACATTTGGAACATGCATTTGGTCAGAAGGAGCCAGTGTTGTGTATTTTTAAGAGTATGCTGTGTCTCTAGCAGCAACAATGGGAAGTTACATGTGCCAAGAATGACAGGCATACCTTTTAGCAGTTTGGCTGGAAGACACTGTGCTTGCCAGATATAGTGCACACAAATCACCACCTGTTCCATTCTCTGGATAAGAGATAATGTCCTCTGTGGGGAATCCCTTGGCAATGAAGTAGATGTGCGGCTTCCACTCATGGATTTTTTTTCATCCAAAGCTCCCGAGTTTTATTGCCAAGGCATTGCACAACTGCAGGAAAACTGGCAAAGGGTGATGAACAGCAAAACTTTTTGAATACCTTGCAATTAATCACATCATATGAAAGAAGCATGTTCAAGTTCTTTTTGACTTTTTCCCTCCTATTGTACCCACAAACGCTGAATACAAGATTTAACTGCTAAATAGCTGTTACTTGGCATTTAACTTGAACTACCAATTAAAGATGATGATGATCTGACTTTTCTGTCAATTAAAGACAATAACCTAATTATATACAAATATTCCAACCAGTAAAATTTCTGCAACTTTTCTTTGATTGATAACAATTTAAATTTATTTCATTAGAGTGCATGTTGTGGCAAATCTATGACTGCATACAAATACACATATTGTTAAAAAAGTGTATTTTTTACAATATTGTATGTATTTTATAGTTAGTAGGCTCTGCAAATGAATGTATTCCACACATTATGGATTGATTAACGAGTCTTCTTTGTTTTCCTGTAAGCTGCTTTATTTATGCGTTTGTCAGTGTGATTACTTGTAGAAGCAAATCTTCTTCATATCATTTTAGATAACTATAAAAATTAAAAATATGATATATTATGTAGTTAATTATTTTAGGAATTCAGCTTTGCAGCACATATGGTATTAAAAATTCCTTTGAATTTTGGTTTTGTCTTGAAGAAACCATCGGGTTTCACCTGTGATCGAATGGTTAAAACCATTGAATACTGGTAGTTTGGTACAAGTTCAAGCCCGAATGAACAGGCTAGATGTATGGTCCATTTTAAAAGTTTTTCCTTGTGTGTAACATAAATACAAGCCAATTTCCCTTAGGAAGTCTTTCATGAAGGCTTCGCACCTCTTAGGCAGATAGCCCTCTTGTGTTTTGCAATATTCAAATAACCTAACTTTGCTTGGAACCTCAGGGCTCCACGTAACATATTTTGAAGATTGTTGAACTAGTGTAAAATTAATTCCAATCAATGTGCCCTTGAAATTTGAATATTGTTAAGTCAATTTATATATTCGGCTTTGCTCGTTTAAACGAGGAAAGCATTAAAAGGTAACGAAATTTATTTTTAAAATTATATGAAGTGAAAAAAAACTATATAGCATAAGTAAAATATCAAGTTATATCTTTATTTTTCTTCTTTATCTCTCTAGATAAATCAGAAATGAATATCAGAGCTGTTGTTTTGATAGATTTTTTGGTCCATAATAATCTTATTTGACCATTTTTAATGATCATTAGTGCATTCTGTCCTTTATATGACTCATAATAGAAATTATATTCTAGAAAATCAGGATTGTCTAAAGTATGATTTTTATCCAAAATCTAGATCCTTACTGATTGTTAGTTGAGAATAATTAAAATAATTACAAATAGTTGAGTTTGCAGACTTTCAGTAAATGCAAAATGTGAACATGATTATTTTTTCTTTTGAATTGCTAAATTCAAATTTTCTGTTTGTGAAACTGATTTCTTTTTAACATTGATATTTTATACTGAGCTAGCTGTAAGAATAATATGACCATAAAAATAAGCATATGACATAAATAAATGTTTAGTAAGTCTTTCTTATATTTTAAATTTCCCTGTAGTTTAAAATGGGATTTTTATCGGATGTGTTTTAAATAACACGAAAAAGCTGAATGTAATAATTATTTATTTATTTTTATATTGAAATAAGATCTCATGAATCCCTACAGATTTGTTCCTTTTTGGCTTTTAAAAGCTTCTTTATGAAGAGGTTTTGGATGATCTGCATAAAGTAGAATTTTTCTTTTTTTTCCCCCCACTTGTTTTTTATTTCCTTTTTATATATACAGTACAAAGTCCGTAATCCGGACTCGTCGGGACTTCAGCAATTCCGGAATAGGGGTTTTTTAAATCTGGTAAGATGGCATGCAGAAATAATACAATTAAAAATATGAAACCGTAATTTATGAAATAAAGAGCAATTATGATCTAAACGGTATCCAAATTTACAAAAAAAGCTTAATATTTATTTGTTTACTTTATTAAACATTTATTTCAATGTAAGTTGTTAAAGTTGCCTCATTTTTTGTGATAATGCTTTCTCTTTAATTCTATAAACAGACATAATTTCTTGTTCAGTTACAAAGTTCCACTGTTAAAGTCCTGTAATTGCTGTGTCGAGAACACCGACTAACTTGTCAATCAAAATTTTTTCGTTTTCAATAACCTCTCTGTCGCTTTCTTCACTATCGGAAGCACGCATGGGTAAACGCTGCGTGCATGCGTAGCGGACACGTGCATTAAACGCGCATGCGTAAGTTTGTGGCTTTGAGGTCCGGATTCTAGATCATTCCGGATAATGAACGTCTGGATTACAGACTTTGTACTGCATAAATTGTATTTGTAAATTGTGATAGAATTCCCTTTTGGCATGTTTCACATAATCCAAGCTGTATATTAAATTTGTTCTCTTAAGAATTTTTAGTTTTCTCTGTAAACTTTGTTCTCTATGCTTATTAAGCCATTTCATTGGGAGATTTTTATAGAGTTGTAATTTTCTCTTCTTTAATTTAATTTAATATTGAGAGTATTGGATAATGTGTAACCTATTTCTGCTATTTCTTTCTTTTCAATTCAAATAGAAGGTTTTGTATTCTACTTCCTTATTTGGACTTGTGCAGAGTTTCTTTAATCGAATAAAATTCTTCAGGTCCGTCGGGTCTGCTTTATGTTATTCTTACTTTTTATCTGCAATTTTTCATACTTTTTTTTTTTCAAGTTTGGTTTTCTTAAGGGTAAATTAGATGTGTATTGATCTTTTTCTAAGAAAATGTGAACCATAATATAGTGGCAAGAGGCAGAATAAGGAAATATTTAAATATACACAATAAAAGAACATTTTGAGAAAGAACAAACCTGTGCATTTTACTATACTCCAGCATTATTTAATTATGATTACTCAAAGATTTTTTAATTTTATTGACCATTCCTCCCTACCCTGTTTTAATTTTATAGCATGATATAGAACTACGTTTTTGGCATTTTTTTTTTTTTTTTTTTTTTTTTTTTTTTTTTTTTGTGACAGATTTCTGCTTTTTTTTCCTTTTCTGTTTTCACAAGCAGCATGCCTATCATTGGCGGGATAGTCGAGGAATGGAGAGCTATTTGGCTTGAAATTAAAAGGTACATTCCCTAATGCTTTGCTTTGTACTAATGCACCTTTAATATGACACATATTATTGTTCTTTGTTACAAATTAGGCATTTATGTTTATATATATATATATATATATATATATATATATATATTTTTAGCACTTTTACGGGTAATAAAAGTGAACTGGATGGAAGTGATGATAAAATCAACATCTTCTCCTTAGCATCTGGTCATCTTTATGAGAGGCTGCTCAGGTATGATGTAAAAATATATTTGTTTTCATTCCTATTTTTCTGTGAAGTGAAGCCTTATATAGAAAAATAAATGTAGCAAATAGTGTATTTAATAGTCATGTTATTCATTATAAACAAAACATTTAAAACAATGTTTTTTAACTACATTAGATGTGTTATGAATTCTAAATTTTCTCAAATCTCTAATGATATTTGTAATATAAAAAGGCATTTTAATTTTTTTTTCATTTTAATTAAAACAAAATTAAAATTTGCATTTAACCAAAAAAAAATTAAATTTTTAAAAATACATTTGTAAGGAAGGTGCAAATGAAATTTTGTAAATGAAGTACATGATTAAAATTCTTATTATCTTAAGGGTCATTTTCTAATTATAATTTGACAAAAAATTTTGTATAAGGATTTTAATTCTTTTCATTCTTTTAATTTTTTTTTTTAATCAAAGCAAAAATAAAATGAGGAGAATTATTTTAAGAGTTGATATAAGTTAAGATTATACTTGGAATATAATGCTCTCTGTCTATAAAACAATTCTGTGACACTCAGGACTGTTATAAGGTGATAGAGATCATCAGGATCAACAAAGTTGTAACAATTGTTTGTGTTTTTAAGTGAGTGTTTTTATTGTCTATCAGAAAATATTCTGTGTAAAATAAAAAGTTTAATAACTTTTTTTAAAGATTCAAAAGCTTCAAATGACATATCCCCCCCCTCAAAAGTGAAGATTCAATTTTGGGGACGTTGAATCTTTTTAAAGAATTTTTAGATTCAAATCTTGAATCCTAATAAAGAATTTTAGGATAGTTTTAATTGTTATAAATTATATCGGAGTATATGTAATTCATGTATAAATGATTAGTTTATAGAAATTCCTTTAATATAATTATTCTCATGCCATATTCCGGATATGTTTTCATGGTCATTTGAAACTACAACTTATTGTTATAATTCTAATTTTAAAACACGAAAAGAAATATCTGTTTTATAAATATTTATGCACAATGTATTGTTTTCTTAGAATAATGATGTTGAGTGTTTTGAAAAATACCAAGACACCTGTGAAATTCTGGTTTTTAAAGAACTTCTTATCTCCAACATTTAAGGTAAAGTAAATTTTAATTTGTATTTCAGACATGAATTTTTAGTAATTGCATAAAATACAATTCTTAATAATTGATAAAAATGTTTTAATTTTTTTTTTTTTAATTACGATATTCATGAGTCAGTTCTCAGAGAAACATTTTACCTCAGGGTTATTTGAGTTACTTTTAAAGAAGCTGATAGCATTAGCTGTGCATTCAGCATATAATTCAATGATTTACTATCTTTATACTTACATCAAATATTGTATTAGAAATGCATGAAGCTTTACAACTCAGTAGAATTAAAAGGTTGCTAGAAAATAATTGCTCTTATGTGCAAGGTATTGCATTAAAATTAATTTTCTTCCCTCTCTTTTAAAAGTGTTATGTTATCCCCATTGTAAAATGCCTGTGAATGCAACCACACTTATGTGGGAAATAGGCAACACCTTCAGTATACTTGCTGATATAAAGTGGTGCATCGTGTCAGGAACTGTTTCTGACACTGAAAGAATGTCAATCAAAATTCAGTCATTTGCATTAAGCTTTTACAACTGATAATGTTAAGAAACCAAAATGTTGGTTTGCTTGTTTTCCTAGTTACTGTATAGCTTTCTGTTTTTAAATATTTGGGATCAGAACAATTTAGTGTAGTGCAAGTTACATACATAAATCTTAGACTGCTAAAAATATATCTAACATCCAAGGTTGATAAATAATCTTATTTTGTATGAATTTAATAATTCTTGTCTACAAGTATGAATTTGAGCCGTTTTTCTATTGGAAAATTCTTGAATTCCTTCCCATAGTTCTAATAATCCTCAAATTCCTATAATTAACCAAACAATGAAAAAATTCATAATTAATTGTGTGTATATAATTCATTAGTGCTTGTTTATTTTTTATTTTTTAAAAAATAATTATAGTTAATGATAGAAATGTTTGTAATAGTTAAACATATATTATTAAATGCTTATGTCTTGATTATTGATAATTTACTAAAATTTGAACATTTCTAAGGAGGTTTTTTTTTAAAACAATAACTAGCAAGTTGAAAAATCGTGTAAGGAGATTTATAAGAAGTCATCTTTATCACTAATTTTTTCATATGAAAGAATTTGTATATGCATTATAAGGAACTTTGAATGTTTATTGATGATGAAAGAAATAATTATCAATAGCAGTTCTTAGCACCAGATACGCTATTAGTCCCGGACCTCACTTTTGTGTCCATGTCTCTTTTCAAATGTATTGCCACTCAGCAGAGTGTAAAATATTTGTCTTGAAATCTTTAGTATTAAATAAATGAAGAATGTGTATATATGTACGTTCATTGCATTGTGGAAAATTGGTGGTACTTAGAACCCTCAAATTTTGAACACTCATTTCACCCAAACACATGCAGCTCAAAAATTTTGAGTTTTGAATTTGTTTTTATTTAGTTTATATTTTGTATGAATTTAATGAATTTTGAATTACCAAATTCAGTGATTTAAAAGCAAGCAGTGACAGCACTGCTTGGAAAAAAAAAAAAAAAAAAAAAGCTTTATTTCAAGGAGTGACAGCACTGCTTGAAATAAAGCTTTTTTTTTTTTTTTTTATCTCCAGCCTTCAGACTGTTGTCGTTAAATTAATTGTAAGACATTTATTTTACAGTTTTAATCAACAAACTCAACTGTTTAAAAGTAGTGTGTTGTCACCATTTGAAATAAAATACTTCTGTCTTCCATGTGCCAGCATGTTACCATTCAGTATTGTGTAAACTATTGAACTTTCAGATTTTATCTGTCTGTTATAATTTAATAAAGCAAGCTATTTCAGAACAATAAGTGCAATTCTTAAGAATATTTTTTCTGTTTTTTAATCTGATTGAATTAAATAAAAATTGATTTAAGTCATGAGCTATATAATTAGAAATGTTAAATATTTTTGTGAAATAATGCAAGCTGGGCTCATTAAAATCATTAAATATTTTTTTTTTCTTTTCCATTATGACTATTTTTAGTGGCTGGCCACATAAGTGACTAGTTTAATAAAAGAACTCAGCTTTGTTTAAAGTATGTGTTGCTACTGCCCAATGTAGTATACTTATCTCTCATGCACCAATTTATTGCTTTTTGGGGAAGCATAAGATATATTTGAAAACACTTAACACTATGCTAGGGATTCTAAAAATATGCTGCTGTAAAAATTAGTTATTTTGCTATTGACTTATTGTAGCATAAGTGTAAAAAAAGTGATGCTTAATAATAAAGTTTCAAAGACAAAAAGCTGTATAAGTAATCTTATTAAGAAAACTGAACACTGCTATGAGGAGCTGACAGAAGACTGAAAAAATTGAAAAAAGATATGGCAACATTTAACTTTCTATTAGGGAATCTAAAAAATATGTTGATTTAAACAATTTTGTGGTTTTGCTGTTAAATTGTGTGCGATGAATGTGTGAAGAAAGTGTCGTTTATTAATAAAGAGGGGGAAAAAATAGGAGTTGTGAGTCCAACAACAGGTAGGTAAACTGCATGTTCATTGAGAGTATAAAAGACCTTAATGAACCCTTTGGTGCAATGTTAAAATCTGTAGTCTGTCAAATTTTCTGCCTTTGTTTCTCTCTATCACTCTTCTTTCCTTTCTTTCTTTCTTGTTAAATCCTTGAATGTGAAATATTCTGGTGAACAAACTGATATGTTAATCCAATCATACTTTTATTTATTTATTTTTTTACAAGAGAAAATGTGATTTTTAATATTCTTTTATGTTATTAAATATTTTTTTTTGTGTGTGTGTGTGTACTGTGGAAGTCAATTATTTTCTTTTAATTGTACGTAAGATTTTGTATACATTTTGCATTTTCTTTTTTTAGTTGGTAAAAAAATTTAATTAAAGTAAAAAACATTATTTTGTTTGAATAATTTCAGGACTTTTTGCCCATAATGGCTGAGAAATATGGATTTGAATATGAATTAGTTCAATACAAATGGCCTCGATGGTTAAATCAACAGCATGAAAAACAGCGCATTATTTGGGGGTAAGGTTTTAGGCTTTATTTTCTCATTTCAAATGCAATGTGAAACTAACTACCAATTTTTGGTTTGGTTTGGTTATTAGATTATGCCAAAGCACTCGAGGGATAGCTGCCTAAGAAGAGGGATGCCTTCATGGAGGCCTTTCTAAGGGAAACTGGCTTGTATACATGTTACACATAGAGGAAAGAAATTAAAACTCATTTTTTTGTTAAATTCGTTTTTATATTTCTGTTTTTGTGCGTGTATTTATATATACATAGAGAGAGAGAGAATTAAAACTGCCTTTTTGCCATTTTGAATTATTATAGCTCCCAGGTTTTGGCACCATAAAATAAGAGTTCAACCGACAATTATTTCAAATAAAATAGAAAGTTCTTACCTAGTTCTTGATTTGATTAGCTTCAGGGACAGTAATTGAATCTGTTTTAGATATTAATCCTTTATTTACGCAAAATAATCAGGGACAACTTTAAACTCTTGATGATACACAACACATCTACATTCTAAACATTAAAACATTTTTATAATAGTTATGCATATCGGCGCCATCCATTGCCATTATCCTCTGATGTCAAAAGTTCATCAGGAGATGAAAACTTTCTTTAGCTATTGATTGAGAATTCCAGAGGATATAACTGTAGCACAGGTCTCCTAATGATAGTTCCATTCCAAAGCCTCACTGTGCATGCATAGGCATGGCCATCTCATCCAGAATGCCCATTCACCATAAAAACTAAGGCACGTAGTCATCTTTAATCAAAACCACAGTGTTCTGTCAGTGGTCTGGGAGCCAGTTGACTGGTTGTGATTGGTGAGCTGGATTCTTTCTGTCTTTTCCAAATTTGTTAAATTTTCTTGGTAGCTTCTCATTTTCAAAAGTTGGGATTCAGAGAAAGGAATTCCTTTAATTGCTTGAGGAAGAGTTAATAATCATCATCTGATCAAGAAATCCAGTTAGCAGTTCTGGTTGATTTGGATTACTGAAAAACCAAGCAAGAGGCCTGAAGCTGAAAATTGCCTCTGTCTCTACGAATATAAATTTCAGTTCTTGAAATGAAACTGATGTTCTTCCTAAGATTCTCCTTGGAGACATCTTAAGTAACCTCATTAAGCATTCTCAAAAACCACCCCACCAGGTGGCCCTTATGAAGATAAATTTCCGTTAGATCAATAACTTCCTAAATAAATTTTGCACTTCTTCCTCTTTTATGATTTTTCACAGCAGATTCAGTTCTTGATTAGCCGTGTGGAATTCACTTGCATTATCACTGTAGAGTACATAGCAAATGCCTCTCCTTCCAACAAATTTTCAAAAAGCTTGTAGAAATGTCTGTGGGATCAAGTCAATAGTCAATTTCAAATATAATGCTCTGGTTACAGCACAAGTGGAGTGCAGTACATAGCACAAGTGGAGTGCAATCTTCATGGTATCTTGATCTTTAAAGTGTAATGGTTTTAAATAATCCAATCCTATCTAATCATTTGAAAGGGATATGCTTCTGATATTCTCAATTTATTACTTGATATAACTTTTTTAATTTTTTTGTCTGGCTCTTAAAATCCACATTTTCTCTGAAACTGGTCAGTGCCCATGGTACACCTCCATGTTTTACTCTTTCATGGCAATCCTTAATGATAAGATCAGACAAATGACAAGTCCTTGGCAATAAAACTGGATGTGCTTCTTGGTTCGAAATATTACCATACTGAAGTCATCATCTGATTAAAATTGTTCCTCTTTCATATGAAATAGGTTTAAATGGCCTAATGATTGAATTTGTTGGCAATGGTCTTCCTTTAGTTAAAGCCAAATATTCTCGAGGAAAGTATTCCATCTGTGTTCCTTTGATCTAATACTGTTCAACCAACTAAATTCTTCTGTAGTTAAACACCCATTCTTCTTGTGTAAATAGATCTCTGAATTCAAGCTGTGATTAGTAATAAATACATTGCTAAGCTTTCTGAATTTTCATATATCAAAAAGAGTTTTTGATTTAATTCTTGCAAAACAAGTAATAGAATTTTCTATTTCAGACTCAGCTACCAACCAATCAGATATTTCATTACTCAGTTATGGCCAGTGGTCTTGATCATTCAAGGAGGTCCATTCTACCACAATTATTTGTCTCTAAGAGCAACTAAGTTGTCTCCTTTAGACCACAAATCTGTAGGGTTTTCTTTTCTGGAACAGTGATTCCACCAATCTGTGTTAAAAAGAGTTCTTATTACTTCAACTCTGTTTTTTACAAACACTTTCAATTTTCAGTAATTGCCTTTGATCCAGTGAAGAATAATCATTGAATCAGACCAGAAATCAATTTTAGTATCCTTCAGAAAATCCTACCTAGGTAATGTAATTTCATGCACCAGTGCAACTCTTGATTTTGAACTATTAAAACTGATTTAAATTTTCCAACTAAAACAGCTGTAACATAAGTTATAGCTCCGTAAATTCTTTTGCTCGTATCCACCCCCCAAAAAAGTGAAGTTGTCAGTTAGTTAATTCGTAATTTTCTTTTAGTTCAAATAAATGCTGTGGTGATGTCGCTTTGTTCAAGTGGTGCAATTCTCCACAACAATCTTGATATGCTTTTACCGAGTATTGATCTTATGTTCATCTGTAGAACAAAATATACACACATTTTTAATTGTAGTATTTAATGCAGCTGCTGTCAGTAGATATTTAGAATTCTCATATTTCCTATACTGCATATTTTTCATTTTATTATCTTCGTCTATCTTGTGAAATAAAAGTGTTTTTTCATGTTTTCTATTTCCCTTTTAAGAAACAGGAATAATTTTGAATAAATTCCATGATTCTTCTTTGTTAGAAGAACAATTATATTGTAATAGGATATCTTGAGGAATTTTACTAAAATCGAAAAAATACTTCTGTAATTATTTAGTTACACTCCAGCTGTTTTAAGACTTTGAATCTGTATAGTAATTGTGTCATGTAATTGTCTCAGTTCCTTTAAGTTCGAGTGTAATTTCACTGGAGTTAAGCCTAACAGTTTGTTTGCATATGAATGTACAATAATTTCGGTTTTATCAAATTGTTCTTTTAATAGTTCAGTACCTAATAACTATTGCTTCTTCAGGAATTTTAGAGGATTCACTGTGTGTAGATCCTATAGGATGTACTTATGTTTTCATGCTTATACTTAAAATCCATTTCTAATTTCGATTTGGAACTTGTGATGTTTTTGTGGTATTCTTGGTTTGTCAGAATATTAACTTGAGTATTTCTGAATCGCTTATAGTGCTTTCTATGGTACAATCTAGCTGGTAGATCTAATTAGGTTTCTCTTCTAATTGATGTTTTAAATATCCAGTTCTTCTTAATCAATATTGTTCCCCTTTAATGTGTCACTTATTTTATTCACAATTTTAGGGATGAGTTCAAATATTTTTTCTTTTACTCTTTAACTTCTTTAATTCACTAAGTTATGCCATTTTCTATTACTATAGCACCCAGGTCTCGGCCATAAAACAAAATAGTTCAATTGACATTCGGTTCAATTACCTGGTTGATCTGATAAGCTTTGGAGACAGTAATTGAACCTATTTTAGATATTAATTCTTTATTTACACAACATAATCAAAGACAACTTTACACTCTTGATGATACACAACTCACAGATACATTCCAAACATTAGCAAAATTTTAAACAGTTATAGTGTATCAGTGTCCTCTATGGGCTAGAGTTCATATCAGGTATTTGCCATCTATAATGGCCTTGGTGAAAGAACACGGCATTGTCACATTTTGGGCTTAAGTAAATGTAATTTCAGAATTGGGTAAAACAAAGACCTTACCTTTGTGTAGATATTGAAGGCTATAAAAAGCCAAATTTTCCAATTAATGGAATTTAGGAAATATTGTATTGATAGGTACAGATGATATAACAAGTTTTCTATTGCAATGGAAATGCTTCAATCAGCAATCATCTAATGAATGACAAAATTGTTAGTATGGTTTTTAAATCGAGAAAATATCACTATCCACAGTGAAGAAAGTGAGTCAATTGAAATCTGCACTTTCATAAAGGTTTTATGAAAATGCAAAGATTTCGATTGACGATTTTGTGGGAATTCTCAATATGACAGTTACAGAATCTGAAAAATGGAACTTTGTTAACCCGTGAGCACACGCAACGGGTATGTCATACCCATTTGCATTTTTCTTTTTGTATATTTCTTAAGGTGACAAGTGCAACGGTTTTTTAGGAACAGCATTGTTCGGGCATGTCATACCCGCGCGTGTACTCGCGTTTCTCAGCAAGTTACTTCGTACTTCTCGTTTTCAAGCTTTTATAGCAAGCTTTTTTTTCAAGTATAAGTTTTTCTTGAGTTGTAAGCATGGCACCGTATATTCCTTACAAAGAAGAGATGAAAACATTGAGAAATCTTCTTGAAACAGTTTCTTCTGATGAGGATTCATTTAGTGAAGACGATGAAGATGTTGATGACGAAGAATATAATAGTAATCATGATTCATCCATAGAGAGTAGTGATTCAGATACAGAAACAGAAAATGAAACTTTGGAATGTAGCAATGAGTTTATGTTGGAAAAAAATGGAGTAAAATGGAACAAAATAAATTCCGGGACTAATGTTAGAATTGGCACCAAAAATATTATAACTAAACTCCCTAGAAATACGAAGTATTCTAAAGAAGTCTCAACACCTTTAGATTCCTGGTCACTACTTACCATTGATGAAGATATATTAAAACATGTAGTTCAACAGTACAAATACTTATACTTGATTCAATATGAAAAAATTTCACTCGTGAATGGGATGAGAAAGCAACAAATGAGTTGGAAATCAAAGCTTTAATTGGATTGCTGTATTTATGTGGCAGTTTATAAATCATCCCATGTGAACGTAAGAGATTTGTGGGCAACAGGATGGAACGGGAATGGACATATTTCGGGAAACAATGTCAGTAAACTGATTCCTCTTCTTTTTACGATGTCTCCATTTTGATCCCATTAGAACTGATTCCTCTTTTTTTACGATGCCTCCATTTTGATGACATTAGAGATCGTCCCAGTAGAAGAGACGTTGGATAAATTAGCTCCGATCAGAGAATTTTTGGAAAATTTTGTCACAAATTGCCAGAAAAGCTTATACTGTAGGAGAAGTATGTGACCATTGATGAGAAGTTGGAATCATTCAGAGGTCATTGTTCCTTCAAACAATAATATGCCCAACAAGCCAGCAAAGTATGGCGTAAAAATATTTGCTCTTGTAGACGCAAGGGTATTTTATACCTGCAGTAAGGAAATTTATGCTGGTAAACAACCAGATGGGCCATTTCAAGTTGAAATGGTGCAAGCGAAGTTGTCAAAGTTTAATAAGACCCTTATACAACTTGGCTCGAAATTTAACAGTGATAATTGGTATATGGGATATGAATTATCTCAAGATCTCCTAAAAAGAAGAAATTACGAAGTAGGTAATGCGTAAAAAATAAGAGAGAAATCCCACCTGAGTTTCTGGCAAAGAAAAGAGAAGTAAATTCTTCAATTTCAGTTTTCAGAAAGAAGCAGCACTTTTATCTTATGCACCGAAAAAATAAGAGTGTGATCCTGTATTCACAATGCATTCGGCGATCAAATCGATGAATCTACTGGGGAATCTAAAAAGCCTGAAATCATTACATTCTATAAAATGACGAAAGGAGCAGCGATGTTGTAGAGAGATGGCAGTGCGTATTCTACAGCAAGTGTAGCACGTCGATGGCCTATGGTGATTTTCTTTCAGTGTTGGACCGTGGCTGCCATTAATGCAAGAATTAATTTACTATCAAAGAAGGAACACAACGGAATACCGTACATGCGTACTTTCTCAAAGGCTTAGGGATGCAGCTAATAGAAAGGTTCAAAATGAACGACGACGAGCATCTGTCGTTCTGATTCTAGACAACAATGACCACAATGAACACGTTAACAATGAACCCCGCCCCCCAAAAAAAACCTAAAATTACTTACAAGAGGTATACAGAGTGCCCCAAGAAAAAAGATAGAAAGACTACATTCATTTGTGAAAATTGTAGCAAAAGTATATGTACGGAACATATGACTCATTTGTAAACAATGTTCAAAATATTGTAAGTAAATAATTTACTCTCCTTATTCTTTCATATTTGTCTAAATGAATATTAACTTGGTTTACATTTTCATTCTTTAAAAACCGATTAATTTATTCAGTAAATTTTATTTCAAACTTTTTATTCGGGTATGAAATACCCGGCGTGTGTTCTCGTGTTCGTCGGATCGGTGCGTGTGTTCGCGGGTTAATGAACAAGAAAATGTGTCTATCTATGAAATTAAAGAGAAAGTATTAGTACAAAAAATGAAACAGCTTAAACAGCTTACATTGAAAGAAATGTTTAATAAAACAAACACATAAATGTTTTTTTTTTTTTTTTTTTTTGTAATTTTAATTCACTTTGCGAGTGGGGGTCGTTTTAGATAGGTTCATAGAAGAGTCGTGTATAGTGCAGCAAGTATTTGGTTTATTAGATTAGATTATGGCAAAGCAATCGAGGGCTATCTGCCTTAAGGGAGGGATGCCTTCATGGAGGACTTTTTAAAGGAAACTGTCTCGTATACACGCTACATATGGGGAAAACCGCGAAAACACCCATGCAGCCAGCCCGTTCGCGGGATTTGAACCTCAGACCCAACTACCAGTGTTTAGCAACGTTGCAGCAAGTATTTATTAACAGGTTTAAGTTACATACAGACATTACATTTAACTTTAAGAAAACTACAGAGCAAGAGTCTGACACAACCTATCAGGTTAGACACTTGGCATTTACTGAAGTACTTCTCTGGCTACTCACCAGAGGGCACCCTTGTTGTCACAGTTAGTGCAACAGTTTATGTTAATGGATTGGTTACTACTTTAGATAAGCTGATGATTTAAATTGCAAAAATTTCTGAAATCCGGAATCATGAAAGTCTTGCTAATTCTATATCTCGGATTTAGTACTGTGCTGTAAATTAATAGATGATGATATCTGTATTTTATTAAGTAATGAAAAATCTGTATGTTTATTCTTCATATTGTGAAAAAGTGGCAGCAGTACCTAGAGCTACCATATTTGAAACATACTTAGGCCTCCACCTAAAATGTGCACACCAAATGTTGAATTTTTATCATTATTAATTATTTCATATTTCTGGCAAACTTAATGAATTTATATTAACAAACTCAACTATTTAAAAGCATTGTGTTGCCATTGTTGAAAATCAAAATTTTGTATCCTTTGTGTTCCAGTATGTTGCCACACAACAAAGCATAAGATAGTTAACTTTCAAATTCAGTCTAGTATTGATTTACAAAACAAGCAGTTTAAGAGCAATATACCTAATTAATAATGAGTTATATATTTTTAATATATCTGATTATTAATGATGTTACATAAAAAATATCTGATATATTTTTGAATAAATCGGATATATTCTTTAATAATACATCTGATTGATATGAATCAAAATGTCTTTCATTTATGATATATCTAATTAATAAATTTTATGAATGCATGCTTTTTTTAATTTATAAAGGTTTTCTTAATATGGTATACAACTGATACAAAATGGTATGCATTTGATACAGGATCCTCTGTTTTAAAATTTTTATTACTTTTTACTTTTTTTTTAAGAACAAATCCTTTTTTAAGGTGTTATATTAGATTTAGATTACAGTCCCAATCTAAAGACTTGAATTACTTGCCTAACTAGACCAATCCACTAGTGGCCAAGTAGTAAAGTCGCTGAACACTGGTAGTTTTGTCTGGAGTTTGAATCCTGACAAGCAGGCTGGCTGCACGAGTGTTTTCATGGTTTTTGCCATGGGTAACATGTATACAAACCAGTTTCTTTTCAAAAGCCCTTCACAAAGGCATCCCTCCCATTAGGTAAATAGCCTTTGGGTTTTTCTCCGTTATTAAAATAAACCAAACCAATCATTCCTGGACCTGTTAATAATTTAATATGGAAGTTCTTCAGTATTCAATATATTTAGTTTATCTAGCGTATCCTGTATCTTGTAATGGTATCGTATGAAGCTTCTATCTTGACTTTTTTGTGGTTCTTTGATAAAGTTTCACCATGTTTTCATTGCATAAGTAAGTGTAAAAAAGGAATTTGATTACAGAAGTAATATGTATGATGATTGTTAGAGAATATATATATATATTTTTTTAATCATCCAGTTTTCCAGTTAACAGACAAAAATAAAACGAAACAGTCTATAGTTAAGTTAATATAGTACTGCTAATATATATTGAAAAACCGAATAGCTTTCCATAAATAATATAAATATTCTGTATTCTCTGTATTTAATTTTTTAATAAAAAAGATGCTTTTTTGTACTGAAAAATGAAATGTGTCCAAACATTTTTCTTACTGCAGTTCTTTTTGGATCATAATTAAAAGTAGTTATCATAATAATAAAATTATATACAATGAGCTGTAGCACTAAAGCAGCTCACTGTGTAATTCTTTTGCATCATAAGTTTAGAATTGTTAGTTGGGAACAACTGATAAAATTAATGTTAATAAAAGAAATACTTTTAGTTTAATATTAAATATTTTCATATGATATTACATTAGCTACATTCATATATATATATATTGTTTATAATAATTACTTTGGCTGTGTCAATAGATCAGATTTTCAAGTATTTTGAAAAATTCCTGATCAGTGTTGATAAAAGATAGTTTTCATGGAGAAAGATGAATATTTATTTTAAACCAGAGCTATCACTAGTGGAAAAATTTGTTTATTCTTAAAGCAGCATTAATTAAAAAAATTCCTATTATGTGTAAATAAAATTGTTTTTTCATTGTAAATTTTCTTGAATGTTCATTCATAATATTTTCCATTTGCATTGTTCATAGTGAATACACCACTGGCAAGTGACTGCTGAATTCTGAAATTTTAAATACTGAAATATATACCCTCTCTTGCTTTGTATGGACATGGACATGGACAAAAAATAGTAACCATTTCTGTCCACAATAACCATAGCTTATGTACATACCATTTTTTTTTTTTTAATTTATTCTTTAGAACTCTTTTTTTTTTCTTTTAATTATATAAATGCTCCTCCAAGAAGCATTTGAAAGGCATATTTAAACTGTATGTATGTAAACATATAAAGATTAAGCTTCAATTGAGTGAGTTTATTGATTATAATTTTTCTGTTAATAGTTGCCATAAGTGTTACTAGCTAATAATTCCTAATTTCTATCTATCTAGTGAATTAATATGTCAATAATATTAATCTGATTACTAATTAAATTTATAGTTTTATATGGTAATTAAGATTTGGCTAGTTAGAATTAGTTTTGTTATTGTAGATTTTTAATAAAGCTAAATTTCATGTAAAATCTGTGATCAAATAAAACAAGATCAGCTTCATTTGATTTGAAAACTAGAAAAATCATTCTTCTAGTTCCATTATAATAAAACTGTTTATATCTCTGTAAAGGTTGCATTTGGTTATAATGTGAAATATTTTTTATTTAGTTATTTAAAGAAATAGAACATTTTTAGTTTTCAAATTCATAGTGACATGGGGGGGTCAAAAACTGATTTCTCTTAGTCTTGTGTGATTGTGGTTTTTACTACGAGGCGTATTCGGAAAATAAGTACCGTTTTGAAAAAAAAAAAAAAAAAAGGTAAAACAATTTTTTGAATCCAATTTTATTTTTACTGAAATAAATGTTTAAACTATTTTTAACATAGTTTCCGAATGATCAAGACTTGTCATAGAGGGACCAGTTTTTGTATACCATTGCCAAAGAAACTTCCCGCCAGTTTCGATAACCACGACGCCTACCACAGCGCTGCGACTGCGCTAGAATGAAACGGTACTTAGTTTCCGAATACGCTATGTAAGTGAATCCTTATTTAAAATATCATTTTTAATTTGATATTTATTTTCTGTTTCTATTCTAGATATAAAATTTTGTTCTTGGATGTTCTTTTCCCGCTTGATGTAAAAAAAATTATATTCGTAGATGCTGATCAGGTATGTCAAATATTTCTTATCATTATTCTAAAGCATTTTAAAACTGCTGTTGCTATTTTTATTGTCATTAAAGTTATTATTCTTGAAATGTTACTCCTTCTTCATTTTGAATTGTTTCATTATTTAAGGTGTTCAACTTTGTAAAATAATATTTAGATCATTAAGGAAGTAAGAAAATAAAATGTTTTAAGTAATAAGATAATATACACTAACTGAAAAAACTTTCATGACCACATAAAGGCAGTCATGACATTGATGGATTTTTAACTATACTACCATAACACAAGACTGTGAAACTGAGGATCATAAAAATTTTAAAAGAGATGTATATGCTAATGTTGTATTTGTAATTCTTTTTCTCATCTTGATTCAATTCTAAGCATTGTATGCATTATAAAAAGCTAAACATTTTATAATTGCTTAAAAGCTATCCTGTTTTACATGTATTACGTATACTTACAGGCAGCCTTTCTTTAATGTAACATAACTATAAAAAATAAAGTAGTCAGGGGCGTAGCTAGAGGGGGGCATGGAGGGGCATTTGTCCCCGGGCGCAGAATCCAAGGGGCGCCAAACTGACGTTACGACATTTTAGAATTAAATGTTTTCCAACCTTGGCAAGCAGTAGGGGGTGCAAAATTTTCAGTTGTCCCTGGGCGCGGAAAACCCTAGCTACGACTCTGAAAGTAGTATGCCAACAAATCTTTAACATAATACAGTTTTCCGCTGATTTTATATGTTTATGGCAAGACTAATGAAAACAGTCATTAAATGGAGGATTTTTTTAAAATGGGGTTGTAGTTTATGTTACATATAATAAAATAAAGTATATATAACTATGTATTTAAGGTGTTATTAAATGTTTTTCCTATTTCTAGTAAAGACTTATTTTATGTAGTAGGGATCTAAGTCAGATGCTTCTTAGTTTTTGGATTAAATCATAATTGTAGTCGGAGCTCACCGGAGCTCCGAGTAAGAAGCACCTGGCAGTTCTTAATGTAACTGAACAACAATTTCAGCAGAAATTATATCTCAAAAAATTTATTTTTAATAATAAAATTATATTAAAAATCCATCCTCGCTTCTAAATGCATGCCTCTCTTTCCTTGGGAAACAAACACTTGAACTGAAGTAGAGACTTTTAATAGAAGAAAAACCCCCACCCACAAAGTGGTATTCTCCATAAAGTATAATGACTTTATGATAGCGCCTAAATTTTTCATTCCAACACTAGTGTCTCCCCGTGGAAAAGAGCATCTGCAGACTTTTTGGAACAATGGTAACCGAAGACGGGGAACGAAAGTTGTCATTTGTTACTTTTTCCTTACCTGACCTTCGGATTCATTGTTTCCCAGTCATTTTTGCTTGACAACTAGAATTATGTTGATAATTCATTCATTGATCATGGTCAGAAAATGTTAGACTCTTCTTTGTTTTCATAGTCTCATTAGTGATGCTTTAACCATTTTAACATTTTTCATTGGTGTCTCTGGAAAAAGAACAGTTTTTATTTCTATCGTCAATTGAAGTAGTATAGAGATTAAATTCAACCGGAGACCGTTAGAGCTATTTTTTAGTTTTGTGAAATTATAATTCCAGCCGGAACCCCAAATAAGTCAAGTCCAGTGCTTTATTTTATTTAACTATTTACCATTTATTTAATAACTTATTAAATTTATTTCTCTTTACATTTTGTTAATTTAATTATATTTATTATTCTAATCATTAATTATTAATCATTTTAATAATTAATTATTGGATTTTTTAAATTATCAATCACTTTATTGTTAGTTATTTTATCTATTTATTTTATTCTTGTTCCTCTTTTCCAATGATCTTCCATAAGGCTCTGGCACTTCTAATTTTAGAAATTGAGCCCTGCAAGGACTATGTCCATTTGTCACAGCTTATGCTTTTCTGAAGTAATTTCTACGACTTTTCATTTCTCTTCAGTTATTCTGTGCTATCCTCTGTCCATTTTAAATGATTTGAGATGTGGCAAAGTGGTTTATCTTCCAGGATAATGCGTTTGCACTTCTAATGATCGCAAGAACTTTTAGGCAGAAATGACATTAAATAAGCAATCTTTCAGAGCTTGAGTATTGATGAAAATTTTTCATCATGCTTGAAGATTATTTTGGAGGGGGTTGTACAGCTATATTTTAAACTATTCACACTAAAGAATTATATGCTAACTTTGTCACTTAACTTTTAGATCTTACTGTGCATTTAGTTAGTAAAGTGTTAAATGATTTTATACATTTTCCTCCCTTTCAGGTTGTCAGAGCAGACATGAAAGAACTTTGTGATCTTGATCTTGGAGGTGCACCTTATGGTTACACTCCATTCTGTGATAGTCGTAAGGACATGGATGGATACAGGTTATATATTCTGTCTACTATATATTTTACATTGTAGAAGTAAAACTAATTATTTTTCTGTGACTAAATTAATTATATCTTTTATTTCCTTCATTTGTGACTAAATCGTCTATATCTTTTGTTTGAACTTTTTTTTGATTTCTGACAATTTTTTTTTTATTAATGGCATTTCTGAATTATTTCTAAAATTAATTTTTTATGCATTTCTGCTGTTTTTGCCTGCTATATCTTTTGTATTTCAGATTTTTTATTCCATTTTGTAATGGTCCATTTTTTTCATATAATAAACGAATTATTTCTAAAATTAAGTTTTCATAAAAGAATAGATTTAAGTTTGCTTTAACAACATTTCTGCTGTTTTCTGCCTGTTGTGCTATATCTTTTGCATTTCAGATTATGAGGACCTTTTGGAGACGTTAATAACTTTTGGATTTATAAATTCAAGTGAACATATGACTTTTTATTTCACTTCCATTTTTCTCCTATGTAGTTTATTAATATAATTTTTTGGTTTAACTTTTGATTGATACATTTATAGCATTTAATTATTTGGTCACAGATGTTTATCTTTTTATCTGTAAATACTTGTATATATATATATTGTATGTTGTTTAATTTTCATTCTTTAAGGAAGCAATGTTTTATGTTTCTTCTTGATAATTGCTATTCTCTCTGCCCCCTTGATTGAATCTCCCTGCCCCTTTTTTCCTTCTCTGAAAGTTTTTTTGTTTGTTTTCATATACATGCATATGTATTATAATTTCTTATTATATTTTATGTTGCAGATTTTGGAAATCTGGTTACTGGGCTTCTCATTTAGCTGGACGGAAGTATCACATTAGGTTTGTTGAAATGTTGTCATATGGCTTTAGTTATGTTATTTAATGTGATAATTTTGTAAATAATAAAATACTTACACCTGAATTTCGTTGTAAAATTATCTATTGAGTTTTTTATGTGAACAATTTATTTTATATAGTTCTTAGTGTCAAAATAATTAATCTTATATGAGACATAATGCTGTAATGTTTCTCTTCAAGAAATTAATCATTTTCACTTCTAAGAATTTTTAGTAAGTTTTAACTCTGACAAATAAATAGTTCTTTTCTGTAAAATTCGTAAGAAGAGCTTTCTTTTTCTATCTAAAGTTATCATTAGATCTAGTAAGAATATAAGATCTAAAAGTTTGGCTGGAAAAAATATTTGACTTGCATGATGGTGTTGAGACTTTAATCCCCTTCAAAGTAGATCCCTTGAACCTCCACACACTTAGCCCACCATTCCTTCCCCTGTCAAAAACAGTTCTGAAAATCTTTTGGAGTGGTTTTCAACTCTGCCGTCGCATTTTGCATTATCTATTTTGTCTGTCTTGTATCATTATCTGTTTGTCTTTGGCCCAGTTAAAAGAAAGTTTATTAAGATAGGGATTTAAGGCTAATGATAGAAGTTATTGATTGCAAGAATAGATTAATATGCAGTCAAAAGACTTTTATTATTATGAAAATAAAGTTCCTGGGTGCTGAAATAAGTATATTGAAATGATAGGTAATTGTATAAAAATAGAATATGGAAGTTTAGAAGTCAAACAACAAACACAATTAATATGGAAATTGTTTTGTTTTATTTAGTAAATAAAATCTAGTTGATAAACTCCTGTGAACATTTGAATATCCTTTGTATTAAATGATATAGATATGTTTTATCATCCACAAAAAGAAAATCAGATCCATATGTACCTCTAAAAATTGTTACATAGGGTTATAAAACATAATCTCAATATTTCTGGGCAGATACAGAATTGCTGATAAGTTTCTAAAAGGTGGATATGTGTGTTGATCATTACTCTTCGCATATTATCATATCTATGCTGCCCTGATGTTTATTCCTTGATGTCATATTCCCTGATGTTTGGGAGAAGAAGCAAGTGTTTTTAGAACAATTTTATCTCAATAAACAAATGCAAACCAACTGGTATGGGCATCAGATCTGATGCTTTCCACACCAATTCAGATGGTCTCTTTTTCTTTCTTTTTTTCTCTCCTTCCTCCAGGAGGAAGGGTAAAGGAACCACAAATTAGTATTAAAATATTTTTTTGTTAAACCTATATACAAAGTTCATCCAGAAAGTAAGTACCGTTTGGGTATTAACAAATATTAGAATTCGTATTTTATTACAGAAAAATATGTGGACCTACTTTAAAAAACTACTTTTTAAACATATTCACTATGTAAATTAAGGCATGTGTCATATCTTGGCACTAATTGCAACACACCCGTTTCATAGAATTTGGCCATCCACGACCTAAACCAGTTCTGGATGTTTCCTTTGATCTCATTATCACTTGTATGTTTGGTTTGTTATAACTTGGCTGATTGGCAAGTAATATCTTAAGATGAGAAAACAAATAGAAGTTGAATGGAGTTAGGTCCAGATTATAAGGAGGGTGACAGAATGGTTCCCAGCATAATCAATCTAGCAATGTCATCATTACACATATAGTATGCAGTTGTGCATTGTCATGCACGAACTCAATATCAGAAATCAGTAGTCCACGCATTTTTTTTTATAACTTCTTCAATGTGCTGTAACGTTGATTCCTGTGCCTTGTTCCATCCAGTCACTAAGAGAATTTTTTTCACAGCCCCAGAACACAGTGCACATGATTTTTCTTGCAGAAAGAGGTGGCTTTCCTGTTTAAGGTTTCAGGGAACCAATATACTGTCATTCCAGTGACTATTCCACTGACTATTTCTTGCATTTCAGATATTTTGGAACTAAGCCATGTTCCATTGCCTATGAGAGTCCTTTTAAAAAAATCATAATTTTTTCCATCCCATAGCACTGCAAAAACTCCAAGGCTGCTTCCATGCATTTCCATTTTCAAATGTCCATTAGTATTTTTGGTACCTTTGGCAAACTCAGTTTTTGTAGTGCAAATGTTCAGTCACAGTAACGTGTAATGTAATTGTGGAGGTCATGAAGTGTTTTGAATATGCATTAACAAATCAGAAATCCTGAATTGCCTATTGGAACAAACTTTTTCATCGATGCAGCACACCAGTTCTTTAGTGATCAGTGATGGGCATCCATTGCACTCCTCATTGTGGACATTTTCCTTTCCTTTGTTAAACATCCTAACCCTTTTTCACACCATTTCTTTACTCATTACATTCTATCCATAAGTTTCACTTATATAACAATAAATTTCACAAGATTGAACATTTCTCTCATTTAAAAACTTGATAATGGCTCTTATTTCAGAGCTGGTGGGTCAATTGATTGTTTTAAACATGATTACTGACAAACAGTGACTTCAGATGTTAACATAAATGAACAAAATAGCTAGGCTAATTCTTTCTCAAGTTCCGCAATGCCACTATGCATGCACAACCATTCATGCTGTCAGATGCACAGGAGGTATGCACAAATAAATTTATTTTCTGGATCAGCTTAATTTGTGAAAGAAGTTCAAATGTGAGCTCTAAATTCAGCTGTGTAATCCTGTTGTGATATGCAGTTGTGGATAGAAAAGAGATCAGTCTCTCCCTCCCAAACATTGAGCTCCCTACATCTTAACAATAATTTCAAAGTTAACCATCTTTATATTTCTATATTTGTTTTTCCTACTTTTAAATTGTTATTTCTTTCCCTCGAAAGATTCTCGCAAATGATATTACAACACCGGTACCTCGTCAAAATAGCCCACAACTTAACAGCCCCAAACTAAATGGCCCCAACAAGATAACCTTGACAAAATAGCCCTGAAATAATAACTAAGTCTACTTATATAGTTATATAAAATTAATTATATTAAAATATATTAGTAGATATGAGTAAAAAATGAATTTTGACATTTGAAAATATTTATTAAAAAACGCATTTTAAAAATTTTATATGAGCATATTAACAGAAATTCTAAATACGATTTGGTAATTCTCTACAAGCCTGTAAGGTTTCTGTTGCTCACCACATTCTTTTTAAAAACTACATTTCAAGGTTATGTGAAATATTAAGAAGAAAGTCCATATGTTCCATATTTGCATAACTTTCCGCTAATGCTTCCAGATGTCAATTCTGTTGCACATATTTAGTTTTGCTAGTGCCTAATGTTACGAATACTTGCTGCAAGGCATGTTAAGTAGATTTCCACCATATCTTGCTCTTTTCAGAAATTATCAATGAGCTTGTAAAGGGATGGTTGATGGCAATCTACAGTTTGCTGGAGTGCTCTATGCCACCCCTCTACCGAATTGTTTGTCCTTGGAAGACCATTGATGATGCACTCGTGAACATTCCACACGTGTATTAGCAAATCATGGTTGTTGCATCTTACTGGTCCTATATGTGTTCCGCCAAATTCAGCTCCTGCACTTTTCACCATAAGCACTATCTCAGATGAAACAAACATGTGAAACGTAATTTTGTAAAGAATGTGGTAAGGAACAGAAACCTTAAAGGTTTACAGAGAATTGCCAAACCACATTAAGAATTTGTATTAATATGTCTATATACAATTTCTAAAATGAGGTTTTAATAAATATTTTCAACTGTCAAAATTCATTTTTTACTAATATTTACTAAAATATTTTAATTAATTTTATATAATTATATAACTGGGCATAGCTACTACTTCGGGGCTATTTTGTCAAGGTTATCTTGTCGGGCTGTTCTGACGTGTCATGTATGGCAACATTAAAGAAAAAAAAATTTAATTTTAAATAACTAAATAAATAAATAAAAAACTCTTTAGGCTGCAAAGTACTGAAATCAAGCTCAAGTTGCAAAAGTTCATAGGGAAGTTCCAAGTGCTGGTTATATATAACAGCATATGAATGTATATGCATTTTAAAAACAAGTTGATCAAATATGAATAGGTTAGTGATAGTTAGGTGTACTTTTTTGTTTATTTCATGAGGAAAAATAATTTAAAATTAAAAACCAAATTACATTACTATATTTCAAAGAGTTTGCCACCAAGTTTTGAAGCCATAAATGTTTCCCTCAAATAGTAATATATTCCATTTTCCTCGAGCATGAAATTTGCAAATGAAAACAATAACACTTTTCCATTAACAAATTCATAACACTTTAATAACTAACGTAACTAAAATTTATTCACACATAAGTGTTCTATGAGAGGTTTAATAAATCAGGTTAGTTTGTTACTTATTATTTTTAAAAAAATTGAAGATAATTTAAATTCCAGTGTGTTATGTTGAATTTGTTTTTCTTTTATTTAGTGCATTGTATGTCGTGGATTTAAAGAAATTCCGTAGGATAGCTGCTGGAGACAGGCTCAGAGGGCAGTATCAAGGACTAAGTCAAGATCCAAATAGTCTTTCTAACTTAGATCAGGTAAATGAATTCAATACTCCAAGATGTATAAGAGTGTCCAGCCTAAAATTATTCTTAGTTGTTAAATTTACGCACTGATGTTAATTTTTAAGTTAAGCTGGGAATTTCTTTGGAAAATGGTGGATGTAATTTTTATTTGATATAATATGGGCTGTAATTCATACATTCCTCAAATTATTTGTGATTCTCATAGGATTTGCCAAATAATATGATACACCAAGTAAACATTAAATCTCTTCCTCAAGAGTGGTTGTGGTGTGAAACATGGTGTTCTGATGAGACAAAAGAGACTGCAAAGACTATTGATCTGGTATATATGATTTTTGTTTTTATTTGAAATGTATTAAGCATTTTACTGTATTTATAAAATAATGTTATTTTTTAACAGTTTGCTTTTTGTGGTGTGTTTAATTATATATAGGGTTTTATAATTAAAGAATCCAATTCCAAAGCTACCCATTGATAAAAGTAAGCCCATTGATAAAAAAAAAAAAATTGTCAAAATTTTTGTGGCAGACTTAATGAAGGGATGACACTTAATTTTACTCATGTGATATTTCTATCTGTTGTGTATGACTGCAATTTTTAATGCAAATTAAAATTTTAAAGAAATATTTTTCAATTCACTGACAAATATGTATCTATATGTATCATTTAATGTAATTTAATCTATATATATCATGTAATATGTATCATTAAAATTCTTTCCTACTTCTTAATAGGGCATGAGGCCCTGCCTTGATGAAACATTAACATGCCAAAATTATTTCTTTTTTGAAAATGAAGATTTCATAAAACAGTGCCTCAGAAACATCCTTTCCCTTTTTGAGATATAATTTCTTTTATTATGTGATACTAAATTTGGCAATTTTAAGATCAATTTGTATACAAAGTTTTTTATCTGTATATTTGCGAATGTTTCAACAATTTTCTTTTACAAGCATAATAAAATTGATAAATAATAAACATGATTATGTATTAAAATTGTAGCTATGAAATAGCATTAAAATAAAACTTTACTTTACTATGTCATACTTTAAAATGACATTATTTTCCATTTTGGTGACTTTCAGAATATTTTGATTCTGAAAAATAAGTAAGGTAATAAATACTAAGAAACGCAGTTACTAAAACACGTCTTAGCAAAAGCTACTTTTGTTACTTTACAATGAATTTAATTTTTCTTCTTATTCTTACATTTTTTCATTATCCCCCCTGTGTAATTGTTTCAGAATATTCAAATATATATCAGTTTTCTCTTAGAAATTCATTTAACAGTTTTCTTTTTTGAATTTTTTATTCAAAAGTCTGCTTTTTTGCTTCTTGAACCTAAGAAAGTTTAGAAGGATTTAAGGAAATTTGTCACAGATTTCTTATTTTATGAAACATTTTTGGAAGAACAGTGAAAACAAAATTATTTGAATTCTCTGCTTTTGAAAGTCTACCTTTTAACATGTTATCATACTTTTATTTTCTTATCTTTTTACCAGCGGCCGAGCGGTAAAGTTGCTGAACACTGGTAGTTCGGTCCGAGGTTCGAATCCCACGAACGGGCTGGCTGCATGGGTGTTTTTCGTGGTTTTCCATATGTGTAACGTGTATACGAGCCAGTTTCCCTTAGAAAGTCCTCCACGAAGGCATCCCTCCTCTCTTAGGCAGATAGCTCTCGTGTGCTTTGCCATATTTAAATACACCAACCAACTCTTATCTTTTTATCAGACACATGCATAGAAAATTGTAAAAATAGTTCTACTCTTTTCACATGGACAGGCATCTGTGGAAAGGAATTTTTCTATTAGTAAAGAAACTGAAAACTTACAATTTAAAAGATTCATCACATGTGTCTCACTATGCTGTACACTGGATATTTTGCCATCTCGTGTTCTATGCATTCTAAATACATGCAGTTCTTTAGAATAACAGAAATCTTCAATGAAATCTGAAAATGTAAAATGTAGAAGAAACTTATTGAGAAAGAAATTGATTGCATAAGAGAAACAAAATAATTTTTCAAAGTTATGTTATTATAACATTCATAAATTAGGAGATGAAGCAGAGACTAGTAAGAACATTAATTCGCTTATTGAAACAAAAAGCAAGATGTTAAAGATAAGAAAATTCATGTAAATTAGCTAAAATATTTTTCAGATTAAAAAATGTGTAAATATTTTGTGCTGTGTTATTGCTAAAAAAACACGTTTTGTAGCTTTTTTTTCGTGTGATTATCATAATATCATTTTAGAATTAATTTGATAAATTACATGCATAATTATCAGTATTTTAAACTGTAAAATGCTCTCAGATTATGATTTGAATAATGTTTTTAAGATATTTTTTGGATATAAAAAATTAATAGTGACCATCTAAATCTATAATGACACAGGGTATCTAACTATGTATATAAGTATTTGTAACTGACTGCTCACCCTTAGAAGTTATCTCTATGAATTAAGCTGAGTTATTGTGTTCCCTTAATCCTTACTGTGGACATAAGCTAACACAAAAATGTAAAAAATAATGTAAAACTTTATTCCTTACAGCTAATAATACATAAATTGATATGAAACAACTTACACCTCTGGTGCTACAGTGGCTTATTGAGACTTTATATTAAATACTGTATATTAACTGGATTGTAATTCCAGCAACTGTACATGAAGCTGCAGCACTAACTGAGTCAAACATACAAAGCACAACTTTCAGCACATACCAATTTTGCCAGTATCAGCAATATCAGACTGTTCTTGTCAGAGTCTCTCTCTTAGCAAGCAGCAGCAGTGGCAACAATCAAACTTCTGTTACAAATCATGCTGGTTTATGATTTTACTTTTAATTTTGACCTATGCCACTTAATAAAAAATTTGCATAAACCTCTGGACTACATGATGAAATGAGACATAAAAGAAAGAACCAATGTGAAATTAATTGTTAGTAAAATTTAAATGTCACTAATCTTCTTTAAAATATGTGAGACATTATAAGTGTAACACATAAATAATATAAGTGTAAATTTTTTAAAGAGGAATTTTGTTATTTTAATGCAAATTACCTGATAAATTTTACAAATTTGATTTTATTATCGTTGTTTATAGTTAAATATTAGATTATGTTTAATAATAATGTATCTTACATATTTATTTTATTCTTAGAATGATATTACAAAAGGGAAGTTTGGGCATAGTTATTGCTTTAATTTATTTAATTCCCTTTGCTAATAGGTCCTTAATTTTTTTCATTAAGGGTCCTTAACAGTACTTAATTTCATTGTGCAGAAATATTTACGAACCTTGAATTAATATTGCGAAGTTCATTGATTCTTAAAAAAGAGTAATCATGAAATAACTCTGTAGCTCTTAAATAGTTTGTTTTGTTTATTGATCAAGTATTAGTAACTTTTTAGCTTTAATGTTTTAACATTTATGACTGAGGATGGAGGGAAGGTTATTCATGTACTTATTTTGTATTGCATTCTGTTAATTAAGTTATGTTTAATTATCTTTTCATTATTTGTAAATGATATTTTATTTCAGTGTAACAATCCTAAAACAAAAGAATCAAAATTAACTAGTGCCATGCGCATCATACCCGAGTGGAAAAATTATGATGCTGAAATTAAGCATTTGTTCCAAGAGTATGAAAGCAATAAAACAATCCAAAAAATACAACTCAAACAGAAAACAGGTAATTTTTTTCCTGTCTTTTATCTGGAATTAGTAAGGAAAAGATTCAGATGTTTTTAAAATCTTAATTTTATTATAATGTTTTGCACTGTATTGCACACTTTAACCATAATGCTTTGCATATAATGGTATTAATAGCTTTTATTTTTCATTATGAGAAAAAAAGAGTTTTAAGAAATCAGATATTGTTTTTAATTTTCTGCTGCGCATTTAATCTTACTTTGAATCTGTAATTTTCTCTCTAAATAAACAAGTAAAATATTTTTCGAATTTTGAATAAAATATTGTTCCTTCATATTTTCATTTGTCATGGTGCTCCAATGTTTTTAATTTAAAATAAATAAACTATTTAAAAGCTAAAATATGTGCTAAGCAAGAATTGGTTCCAGCATGTAAAATGCAGAAACTTAGGCATGCTCAGCACTATCTGTGCTATAATAAATGTATCAGATTTCTCATGGCATTCATAATCATGACCACATGAATGCATATATGCAGGCCAGTCTGATGTATCATTACTTATACTATGCTTTGATGGAACGTACAAATTTTGTTCTGTTATTCCTTGAAATTAGTCATGATACTATATAGTACTAGCTATTTCCATTTTCTCTTGTCTCTTGAGGATTAACCTAAAATATCAAAATCTTGTGCACTCATATTAACATATAACTTAATTATATGTTGTAATTGTACTATGCAGCATACAGGATACTGAACTTTGTGAAGTTATTTAATATTAGTAACGTCTTAATATACATAATTCGTCAATTAAACTCAAGTGTGTTTGTATGCATGCTACATTATGCATGTTAAATTATACTGCATTACATATACACTGGTTATCATAAATTAAGGAAAATTCACAAAAATCACGAATACTGAAAAAGTTACGTGTAGAATTTAATGAAACTTACCCACAATGTACAACACATAGTAAGGTATCAAATAACATAAAAAGAAATTACCAGACAAGTAAGGTATAGAAATTAGCCCATGTATAAAATGAACAAATCGAAGACGTCAGTTTGCTATAGGAAAAGTACTTTCAATATGGAATATGATCACCTCTAGAAGAAATGCAGCACATACAGAGATGTGTGATGCTTTCAATTATGCAGTCTATCAGTTCCATAGAAAGCGAGAATCATTCCTCTTGCAAATCAGTTGCAAGCGTGGCAAGGATCTGAGGGGGCAGATTGAGAGCAGCTAGATGTCTCATTAAAGCATCCCAAACGTGCTCGATAGTATTCAAGTCCACGGATTGAGCTGGCCACTCCATGCGTATAATTGTTTCTTGCTGAAGATAATCATCTACGATTCAAGCCCTGTGTGGTCTTGCATTGTTGTCCTGTAATAGGAAAGCATCACCTATTGCCCCGGCATATGGGCACACATAAATTTCAAGGATGTATCTCTTAAGATGAGCATCAGGGTTACCTTGGAAGACATGGAGGCGTGATACACCCAAAGGATGTCACCCCAGCACAGACACTGCCCCTTCTGATGCATCTCTTTCATGGATGATAACAGGTTTAGGTTCTCTCCATATCAAGTAACGTCTACTATCGCTTTTCTAGACAAAACCTGGATAAAGAGAACCGACCATTGATCAGGCGTCCAGTGGACTGTCATGCCCAATGAAAACGGTTCCCTATATGGTGTGAAGTGAGGTACACAAATGGCGGGTCGCCTTGCTACAGGCACCTTCGTGAGCCTATACGCACAGTGACGTGACACGAACCTCCAGTGGGCAGCAAGGGAGGATTTAAGAAGAGTTGGAGTAGCGTTCTATTCTGCGGCACATAATGTCAATTCAGTCATGGGCGTCGTGTAGGTTGGCCGTCCTTGGCTAAACCTCCTAGATGCGGAATCTGTGGTTTGAAATTGCCTCCAAAGTCTGTGAACCACAGAAGGACTCACATTTAGCCATCTGGCCATTTCTGTTTGACTTTGTCCTGCCTGTCTCCCAGTGGCTCTCTGCCAACCAGCAGCCGAGCGGTAAAATCGCTGAACACTGGTAGTTCGGTCCGAGGTTTGAATCCCGCTGCATGGGCGTTTTTGTGGTTTTCCCCATGTGTAACATGTATACAAGCCAGTTCCCTTAGAAAGTCCTCCACGAAGGCACCCCCCTTAGGTAGGTGGCCCTAGTGTGCTTTGCCGTATTCACAATACACCACACCACACCATACCCAATGGCTCTCCATCGCAGTTCTGCAGGCAAATGATGCCTGGAGGTCATTGTTACGAATTGTCATACTTGTATAATAAAAAGTTTAACATGCAGTGCATCAGCATGTGAGTATGGTGGAAATAAATCATCACATTTTATAATGTAGTGCATAATATCTATTCCATAAACTTATTTGCTTTTTTTAGCCTTGTATGAAAAAGTAAGCACAGTAAAATGTCATTTATTTATTTGTTGATTATATGATTCATTGTTGTACATAAGTTTTTAAATCCTGAGAATGCATCAGTTATAATATTAAATAACATCAGGCATGACCTACTGAGGTTATTTTAACATACATCTTTTTTTTATTTATTTATTTACTAAAGAAATATTGATTCTATTATCTCCTAATATAAATTTATTAGAAGTACATACAGTCAAAAGTCGTTAATTTGGACACCCATAATCCGGAATGATCTATAATCTGGACCTCAAAGCTACAACCTTTCTGCGCATGCGTCGTGTTGACGCACGCGCGTAAGACCTTTACGGCTGCGAATACATGTGTGCACGTGCACAAAATACGTTTATGAATGCGTGTTTAATGTATAAGGGACGATATAAGTTAAGCTAAAATTATCTAATTCAGTTAATGTTGCAGATTGCATTGTTCCTTAATCTTCAAATTGGATTCGGTTATTATTTTTGCAGAATGTTTAGAGCAATTTTATAAAGTAAGCTTGAACTTCGATTAGGTCAATAGAATTTCTGATATATATTTACTAATATGAAAGGATCTACAAAGTGAAAGTATGTTCGAAGTCCATTGAACAAAAGTGGAATTGCTGCAAAAAATGGATAAAGCATATCCTTTGTTATCTAACTTTATTTACTAACTTTGTTTATCTTTAACGCTGCAGCGCACAATGAATTAGAAGTTGATCTGTCAGCATTATCCTTATTTTCAGGGCAGATGTTTTTTATTTATTTGGCTTATAATTCCTTACTAAATGTAGTATTTCATCTCGATGTACTCCATCTTGATATGATTAAATCAAATTCCTCGTCATTATAATTTGCTTCCGATAGCGAAAAAAGTGACAGAGGTTATGAAACGAAAAAATTTCGATTGACAAATTAGTCGGTATTCTCGACACAGCAATTATAGGACTTAAACAGCAGAACTTTGTAACTGAACAAGAAATTATGTCTGTTTATAGAATAAGAGAATGTATTATCACATAAATTGTTCTTTATTTCGTAAATTATGGTTTCATATTTTTAATTTTATAATTTCTGCGTGCCATCTTACCAGATTTAAACTGATGATCTATAATTCGGAAAAATCGATAATCCGGAATCGGTAAAGTCCCGACGAGTCCAGATTAACGACTTTTGACTGTATTTATTTCATAGATCAGATGAGAATTTGCTTTTCTAAAAACATACAGTTTTTGTTTGTTAGAAACCATTCATGAGGATATGTTCACAGAATGTATAGATAAAATTTTTTGCATGACTGTATTTTGGTGCCACATGTTGTGTAATTTATTTCATTTTTGAAGTAGCCAGAGCATTTCCATCTTTATATTCCTGTAAGAATTGGGATGTGTAGAAGTTAAAAAACTTGGGAAAAGTTTGCTATAGATCTCGGTGCAGATTTGCATACATTATGTTTTGCATCTAAAATGATTTGTGCAGAAAAAAGCATATTATGCATTAATATGCTTTCTTCTGCTTCTATGCTTTCATCTATTAACACAGATAAAATGTAAAAGAAATGTTAACTCCATTTTGAAAAAAAGGAGGAGGAAAAAAATATCAAATCAGAGAACTGGAGATCCCATTTTCTTCATTGAATGACACCTATTTTATAAATGTAGAATAGTACCCCCATATTTATGAATAATTCACTCCAGGACATACTATGGCTAACAGTGAATGCTATGTCGAGCAGGATATCCATGTGACTTATTGATAAATTTGGCACTGTAAGACATTATTGATATTAATAAATAATGATAAAAACATAATAGTATATTATGTTTAAAATAAAAAATAAGTAAAGACAAATAAAAAATTCATACGAACCAATATCGTATATAAAAATTCATACGATATTGTATAATATAATGAAATGTTTAAAGGGATGCTAAGAATAAAAATCATTCTTTTTTCAACAAAACAGTTAAAAAAAAAATATATTTCTTTTATTTTACAGTGAAAATTATGTGCGTAATACACAATCAGGAAATTTCACTTTTGGAGAAAGCTACTGCTTGTGATATACAGGGACAACTGTATTCTTTTTGCTGTTGCAATGATTACTGATATTAATGTCCCTAATTATCTGATGATTGCTCAAAGTGTAGATGGGGAGAGGAAGTAGGATTATTATGGGGATATTGTGATAACAAGCTTGCATTAAATTGAGAAAAGAGATGTTAGCTGAGAATCTTTTATGTTAATGCTTTTGTTTTCTTTTTTTCAATCTTATGGGAAAACATCATGACTGAGAGTTTTTATCATTAAATGCTAATTTAACCATTAAATGCTTGTTGAAGAACATCCATTATTGTACTTGTAAATTTAATGCTACACTTCATCATAGGGCCATGAAGTTTTTTTCTCCCCCCCCCCTTTAAGCTTTTTGCCATTTGAAACCACTTCTCTAAGTTTTTTAGCATCCATATTGCTGATTCTTTTCTTCCCCCCTCCCCTTTTTTTTTTTTTTTTTTTTAATCTTCCTTTGCAAATGAATTGACTCTCTTCCAAGTCCTCACTCTTTCTTATGATTACTTTGTAGAGTTGCTTTCTGTAAACTAACTGAAGTTTTTAAATTCTACTAAAACTGGCTAGCAAGTTATCACTTTTTCTATGAAATTACAGCAGAGTCCTTAGAAGGTTTTAAAAAAATCTTTTTATTAAAAGCTTTTTAAGGAACAAATGCGTGACTTGTGCTTACATATTAAAACTCCACCACTTGTGAGAATAAGATAACATAAGCTGAACGTAAGATTTTAATTACTTGATGTAGGAGACCTATAATTCAAAACTCACCTAATCATTAAATCAAAATTAAACTCAAATTATCAAACTCAAACTAAAATTATTAAATACATGATATATAAGGTATTTTCCCCCTTCTTTCCACCTGCCTTCATGATGTAATTGGAAGCATATATGAAACGTCAAGGGTTTGAATTCCAATGAAGGTATTACACATTTTTTGTGTCAGCTGCTTAAAGAGAGGGGACTCATGATTCTACTGTGCCGCCTGAGCTAAAAGGTAGTGGTTGATAATTCATCACCCTCAAGATTTGGTGATTGGGTTCCCTAATCCCCAATTGCCCTTTAAAAAGCGGATTATGAAAAGTATTTTAGCCCACTTTTCCATGTGCCTTCACGGTGTAACTAGAAGCACACTCGATATGTATTTTGGAGGTCCAGACTTCAAATCTCAACAAAGGCATTGCACATTTTTTAAGTTCCAGCTTTGATATAATCTAATGACTCTACAGATTTACTTTGACTAGTAACATGGATAAGACAGGATGACTACAGTACCAGAGCCAGGCAAGAGAAAAGTACTATGTCAACTTGACTTAAAAACCCTTAACTCATTTATATCCCAATAAGAGCTAAGGAAAAGGAGAAGTGATAGTACATTTCCAAATTATAAGAAAATGGGTTAATTTACTCTATAACCTCTGTATGTTCTTTCACTTCTTCCTCTTTCAAATTGACAAAGCCTCATTACCAACTGATCTTGCTGTTTATATGTTTATTTCTTCATCAATGCCGCGAAAGCTTTTGCGATCATGGATGATTTCACATATTCATATATATATATATTTATTCACTTATTCATATATATTATACTTTTGCGACCATGGATGATCACTACAAATTTTCCAGCATACATTGAATGCTTCTGAATTTAATCTACTCCTTTTTAATGAAAGTTATTGGTTCAGCATTAGTAAAGGATTTCCAGCAATAAATTATGTGAAGGCATTTCAAATCATCTCAAAGATTGTTTAATTAGATGCTTTGATACACCTAATAACACCTCATTCGAGTGGCTGAAGCAGTGAGGTCATATTTAGTGATAACAGTATCATCTGAATATTCTCATATTCCATTACCAATAAAGCTTTTAATAGCAACCCTTCCTTTTTAAAGATTTTGACACTTCAGGGATGATTTGCAAGAAGTGTTCAGTGAAATTACTATCATAACTCATGCTTCTAAGTTTATACTACTGGAATGCAGGCAGGAAATTTTGATTTTTAAGAGATTAAAGATTTTTTACATAATAAACAACACCCAGCTTGATGATATCTGGTGCTGCTGTAACATAGTATCAGCATCAATTCATCCTTCTATGCTTTAAATCCTGGGTTTATTTTTCACTTGTATATAAATATAGGTCCTGTTTGACAATTCTTTCAAAACAAAGCTGTTTTATTGCAATTGTTCCCTTACATAGGATTGTAATTCCCTTCTTTGATTATTTTCTTCTTTTTTTTTAAATTTGTTTTGAAAAATGGCATGTACTTGCTCACTGGCCAGTGCAGCTTCTCCTGAAATTTTAATGTTTAAGAAATCAAACATCTTTTTAAACCTATGCAGCTATCCTTTGCATGCTGTAAGAAGCTTCATTTTTCTCTTCCAAGCCCCCTTTTTTTAAATTTTTGTGTTAAGGCATTTTTTATGAAACCATGCCAATAATGAGTATATTTTTATATTTTCCAACTGAAAATTTAAGCCTTTTCCCGCTTTCATTAGTAGCTTATAACTCGTGTACATTATTTCCTAATTTTGCAACAGTTTACGAATTAAAGAAACATTCTTGCCATAGAAAAGTTAACAATTTCTTCATCTGATTCCCCCCCCCCATTTTTATTGTATCCTGAATGTTTGCTTTCTCACCAATAGATAAAACATCATGACCTTTAAGTTTAAAAGCACTGGTGGCATCATTGTTCTTACATTTTAAAGCAGTTATAACATAAATAAAATATTTCTGTGGGAGCTGTGAGAGAACATTTATTAATGAGAATGGGAAAATTGTTAAAAACAGAGCTGTAAGAAATTTAATGGTAAAATCTGTATGTGTGCAGGGGGGTAGTCACTGATAATGATCCCCTGCTGACGTTTCTGTAGCCACCATGGGAAAAAGATAAGTCAAGAAAAGTACAATTTTGAAGAGTGATCTGTAATGTGAGAACTAAGTAAGATCTTGAAGAGGACAGTTTATTTCACATAAGACATTTCTAATGCTTAGTTTTGGGGAAGATTTCAAACAAATAATGGCTTTTCTAAACTGTGATTGTAATTTGTAATTTCAGAGAGATTTTTACTGTATGTATTCCATTTATAATTTATTTTTAAAAAAATTAATCTTTTTCCTTTAATTTTCTTTCAGATGACCATGATGAGTTATGATGAAAGGTTGGCTAAAATTTTGTATTTTGGTGATCTTAGGAATAATAAATTTTTTAACTTAATCTTTGTCTGTTGTGCTTATATAGAGGTACATAAACATGGATTTTTTTTTTAATATTAAGTATAAATTAAAAAAAAATATATAAACTAATCTATGAAAAGTGCATTTTAATTAATTGAAAACGACCTTTCAGTGTTGTAAAGAGGAAGTTCTTGACCTTATGTGAGACAATTTTTGGGAGTCATTGTAGAGGAGTTTATGAATGGTAATGTAGAGGAGTTTATGGATGGTAACACAGAGCTTAGCTCATTAGCTTAGTCATTGATTTTCTGGAGGAAGAAAATATTTATTGTTTGCTGTGGCTGCTGTCCAGATGGTATAGTAGTTAGTAATGCTGATTGCCATACTGACGGCCTGGTGTTAAAATCCTGGCTAAGGCATGAATATTTGTAAGTGTATAGTGTCTGTGTAGTAAGGGGCACATGCCAAGCCAAATTTCCTCTGGGGTAGTTGGTGATTGGCCCTCAGACTGCCTCCAAGGGGTTCTTCCTTAAAACTGGAATAGATATGTACAGTTAATGCAGTGGGACTACACCTGTACAATCTATGATGAAATTCTACTGTCCTGCCCACTTCTGCCTGTACCTGTTTGGTGTTACCAGTGAAGCCATTTGATCTTAACCCCTTAACTACCGTGCAAAACGTACAAGATTCACTCTCCAGTGCCATCGTTTTTTTACATAGGCGTGCATATGTGATGTATTGTGGGGGGATAAGTGCAAGTTTTGTTGTCTAAAAACTGTTTGCTATCACAAAATAAAGAATAAAAATAAAAAGGAAAATTCAAAATTTAATGTTTAGAGTAAAAGCATAATAAAAAAGGTGTAAGTATAATAAAAATGATGTTTGTATAATAAAAATGATGTATAATAAAAATATCCCAAAAAGAGGGTTTCGATCAATGTATTTTTAGACCAGTAAAGCGTTATATCAGGTTTCAGTGTTATACCTTGTAAAATCAGTATACCTAAAAAAATATATATTTCTTCTCAATTGGTTGGATGCTAAGATTTTGTTCTTGGTTTTTCTTTTGCAAGATGTTGGTTCATATACTGGTCTGCAAAACGGTTAGATTCAGTAACAATATGAAGGACAAGCAGTTTATCAAAAAATAATTCAAAAAAGATAAGTGGGTTTGAAACATCCGTTAAATCTTTCTTTGTTCCTGGCACCTACTAAAAAGAGTAAATGAAAATGGAAGACACAGAATAAAAAAAAAATACATTTACTCAAACAAAATCACAAGCAATAACCGAGAACTAGTTTAGCATATTTAGTTTCTAAACCTCTAATAATTTGTATAATGGAATATAATTAGCTTATGTACATAAAAATATATTTGTATTTTGTACTATGTAAAAATTTTAAGTTTATGGTTAGTGTTCCAGCAAAATGAATATTATATCAGTGGATTCTCAAACTCAGAATACTTAAGAACTACTCATGTTGAGTTGGTTTACTTTTTTCACTAATATGCTTAACATCAAATCTCTTTAGAAATAGTAATATTTGCCATGAGATCATTTGTTTATATACTATTCTTCTCAAATAATATGTTAAGTAAAGAATTAGTATTTGCTCATGCCACAATTCTCTAAATAATGTTTTTAACCAGACGCAAAGGGAGAAAAATATCAAGTTTATTACTTTCTTCATAAAGATTCAGATTAAGATTAAGAAATATAGACTTATTAAATGCACATATACTCATCTCCATTGAGGAAAAAACTGCTTTATAAATACAAATTTTTAAAGTATTATTTTTTGTAATAAATACTGAAAAATTGTTCTTGCAATTCGGTTTTGCTATCAGATAAAAGTTTTTGAATAGCATTAATGTGCAAATTACTATAATAATTTTATTTAATTAATAGGATTATTTTTAAAATTTTATTGTAGGATGCCGTAATGAATCTGAAATCCGAGCTGTTCGAGACTTCAATTCTGGATTTGGAATGTTTCTGGTTATTAAATGATCAGTTTAAATAACAAGACATGTAGAAATTATATAAGGGAATCAAAATTAAAAAGAGGGCTTAATATATATTTATTTGCTTTGTTAAGTGTTTCTTACAATGTAAATTGTTTAATGTGTTACTTTCCCTTATTTCTCTAGATAAATATAATTTCTTCCTTTGCAAAGTTCCATTGCTGAAGTCTTGCTGCATCGATAATTCCCACTAAATTATCAATAGAAAGGTTTTTTGTTCTCACTAGTCTTCAATTTCTCTGTCACTTTGTTCATTATTGGTAGTGATATTTTTTAGTTTTAGAACCATACTGCAGATTTCACCATCTGTTAGTTGATTGATGATTGGGGCATTGTCATTACAATGCTAAACTTCTGTTGTACCATCTTCATTTATTACCACTTCTCCACATTTCTTCAAAAATTCCATTAATTGGAAAATTTTGCTTTTATTTTGTGATATCTGCAAACCTTCAAATTCGTAGTATCATCATAAGCTTGGGTATTCTTTGCTATACACTATTGGTGACTAAAAGGCAAGTTGTTCCGCTAAATTTTGCTTCTGTTGCATGAATAAATAAATTCCCACATACACTTAAGGCTTATCCAGGTTTGGCGCAGTCTCTGCAGGGCCGAAATTCTGCTGTCAAGCACCTCCCTACATTCTAAAAATTTGGCCACCCCTAAATTTTACATCCCAATGCCTTCCCTGAATTCTGAAAATTTTATTGCTAGCTGTTTCTCTAAATTAAAAAAAAATTTGTCTTTCCTAAATTCCGCCGTCCATTGCAACCACACCAGATCTGGCATCAATCCTGAGTTTAAATGAATAACAAATCAGTTATTCTCAATTCAGACAGCACTAAATATAATCTTTTGACCTATGAGTATCATTTACAAAATCTTATTTTTTGCTTATGAAAAGAAATTTATGTTAACCTCCTGTAAATAAATGCCCACGATTTTGAACACTGCATATCAGCCACTGCAGCCCATCAGCACTACCATTTACAGTGATGTAAAAAACACAAAGACTGAAACATTTCACCAATGGAGTCATGTGTTCTTTACTAATGCAATCATTTCAGTTTACAAATGATTCTCGGCATCAGTTAATATGGAGAGCCCTAGATACATTGCAGGGGGGAGGGACAGTTCTACATCTCCCATTCTACTGGGTCAATTAGCGAAATTTAAACTGCGTTTTTCATGTCTCGAACGCGCGACTTAGGATATATATTAGATTTATGTATAGCGTTATTCAAACGTAGGTATTTTGGCAAAAAAGGACTTTTTCTTAAATGCCATGCCAATTGTTTTGCATATTCGATTCTATGACTCAATATCCCTAAATAAATTTGTAAATTTGGTGCAAAATTTATGTGAAATTCAAAATTGTCTGGCGGTCTCTTAAGTTTGCACCAAGAATATTTCATGGGCGAACTTCTGAACATGTGCAACATATTTCTTTATCATTTGGATTGTCCGTGAGTGGAGAAAAAGTTACCCCTCGTTTTCTTTCAAATATGTCTTAATATATTTTTAATTATAATTTTTATTATTTTTTAAGTACTTTTCTTTTTTGAATTTCTTTAATTGTTTAAGTTGCATATTTCTTTAAATAATATTTTAAATTCTGTTTACTCATTTGAACTGTTGTTTAATAAAAGGGCTCATTTATATTTCTAAAAGTTTCTTACTATATTTTAAATTTTTAAGAAATTTTATTTTATTGTGTGTTGCAAGCTCTTCAGATATTGTTTTAAATTTTCTATTCATTCATTCGAACTGCGCATTTTAAATATATTAATTAATTTTCAGACTTTGATTTTATTTATTTGAATGCATTCTTTCGGAAGAATACTTTGTGACCCAGACTAGCTGCGTTTGAAAACGCATATATTAAAGAGAAAGTACTGTAAGCACAGTTAACACGCCGTCAATGTTGTTCAGAAAGAATATAAATAGAGATTTTATATGATATTTTAATTTAGATGACTTGAATACATTGCCATTGCTTTAACATTTTTAATCCCACCTTAATTTCTTAAATGTTATTCAATTTTAGCCAAATTTTTTTTTGAAATAGCAAGAATTAAATATATAAATAAAAATTTTAAATTAAAAAAATACTAAATTTTATGCAAAAATTATTTTTCTCTTCTTAATAGCTTGTTTATTTTCTTCAGGCATTCTGCAAGTATATTAAGAAGTATCCAGCTTTCCAAAACATCTTGGTATTTCAGACATTAATTTTAAATAAAGTTATCACCTTCCATTTCAAAAGGGCCCACAAACAGCCAAGCGGTAAAGTTGCTGAACACTGGTAATTCGCTCCGGGGCTCGAATCTCGGTGAACAAGTTGATTGCAGGGGCGTTTTTGTGGTTTTTCTCGTGTAACATGTATACAAGCTGGTTTTCCTTAGAAAGCTCTTCACAAAAGCATCTCTCCTTTTCGGCAGATAGCCCTGCTTTGCCATAATTTTAATAATCCTAATCAATCCATTTCATCAGTATTTGGTCAGAGCCAGGCCCGCACCTACAATAGGTGCTAGATCGTGGAGCGCACGACGGCGAGATATTCATGGTTGTCCGGAAATGAAACACCCCCGTGGGTGGCGTTGGTGAATTCAGCGAGCCTTTAAACTGATTGAGCTTTAAAGTGGGGGCCTGGAGCCTCAAAACTGTATATTCATATCCTTTCTTGGTTGGCCCCTGGAGGCACCTAAAGTCGACATCTGTATACCATGACTTAGTGTTAGCAGGCCAGTTTGGTGATCCGGTCTGTCTGACAATGTTTAAGTGACTTTGTTCTGCTGTCCAGGGTTTGGGCCTCTGTTGATGACCTATGATTTTACCATCCCTCCAGAACTGGGACGTGGATTGAGAGTTGCCGAGTATTCCTGTTGACTCAGTTTAGTCTTAGCTTGTCGGCTCGACGGATAGATTAGAGCCTCTAGGGGTTGGGAGTTTAACTGTGTTAAGGCAGCCTCAAGCTTTCTAGTTCTGAATGCCCCTTCCTCCTAGCACAT